ATTATTACGTATATTAACAGCAGAGCAGATTGCAATCTAATCTTACTATAGCTAATTAAGGAATTATAAATCCCTGTTTAATAAAAAGAATAAGCGCTATAAATTATAAGTATTATAGAAGTAGAAATAAAAAAAGGACTTATTAAATATAAAATTAATTATCTCCCTATAATTATTAATAGGAATACTTATAATATTTAATTTAGTATTTTAAATATACTAAAAAATAATATTCTTTTAGGCTATTCCTGGTTATTTAATAATAACCTTATTATCTAATAGAAGATTAAGAAGGTTTATTAAGATATTAAGAATATATCTGAATATTAACTATACTAAAGGGAATAAAAAGGTAAAGCTATGCTATTAAAAGAACCGGAATCCTCTGCACTAATTATAAAGAAAACGAAAATAATTAGGTTTAAAGAAAATAAATTACTAGTACTATTATAATATAATAAATAACGTAAGAAAGTAGAACGTATCTGCATTAATAAAATTATAATATAATTTAAGGATAAGCTAGTAGTACTTAATAATATACTAAGTAAAATATAAGAAAAAGAGAAATTAGGAAAACTTAATAATACTTTTGCTAAAATACTTCGCTAATATAAGAAGTTCCGAAAACTATATAAGGTAATATTAAATACTAGGTTACTACTATACTTATAGTAGGACTACTATATTAAGTTAGTAAATAAAAAATAACCTAAGACCTATAAAATTTATAACCTTAATGAAAAAGAGCTTAAGACTCTAAGGGAATAATTAAATAAATAATTAAAAAAAGAATATATCTAAGTTTTTAATTTATTAATAGGATACCCTATAATATTTATACTAAAGAAAAACAGGAAGTTATAACTAATTATTAACTACCAATAACTTAATAAAATTACTATTAAAAATTAAATACTACTACTACTAATCTCCGAAATTAAAGATAGGCTAGCTACTGTAAAATAGTTTACGGCTTTTAACTTAAAAGGAGCCTATAACCTTATCTAAATTAAGGAAGGAAATAAATAGAAAATAGTATTTAAAATATATTATAAACTATTTAAATATTTAATTATACCCTTTAAATTTACTAATATATTAGCTATATTCTAAAGAATAATTAACAAAGTCCTTAAAGAATATATTAATAGGTTTATTATTATCTACCTTAATAATATACTAATTTACTTTAATACCTTAGAAAAGTATAAATAATATATATATTAAGTCTTAGAAATACTATAAGTAGTAAACCTACTAGTAGAACTAAAGAAATATTAGTTTTATATTTAAAAAGTTAACTTTTTAAAATATATTATTTCACTAGGATAAATTAAAATAAACCCTGCTAAAATAGCAGCTATTAAGGAATAAAAGGTCCCTAAAACTATAAAGGAAGTACAGAGCTTCCTTAGTCTAGTAAATTACTACCAAAGGTTTATTAGGAACTATAGTAAAATTATAATACTACTTACAGATCTTACTAAAAAGGATCCTAATAATAAAGTTAAGAAGAATTAACTAATTAAATACACAGGGAAAGCCCTAGAAGCCTTTAAAGCGCTTTAAAAAGCTATTACTAGCGCACTAGTATTATAAATATATAACCCTAAGAGGCCCGTTATTATTAAAACGAATGCCTTAAACTACGTAATTAAAGGAGTTCTTAGCTAATAAGATAATAAAGAAATACTATATCCTATAGCTTTCTTCTTTAAGAAACTCCATAGCCCTGAATTACAATATTCTATATATAACTAAGAACTTATAACTATCTTTAAAGTATTTAAGGAATAAAGATTATACCTATTAGGTAATAAGTATAAGATTACTATATACTTTAATTATAAAAATCTTATAAGTCTTACTATAAAAGAAATAAATATTTTAATATAGTAAGAAAAGTATCTTAGGCTTATAGTTAAGTATAACTTTAAGATTATACCCTATAAAGGATTAGAAAATAGTTGTATAAACGCTCTTAGCTATAGAAAAGACTACTTTAAACTAATACTAAAACTTACCTCGCTAATATTTTAAAAAATAGTAAAAAGGTACTATAAATTAATAACTATTAATACCCTTTTTATAATTAAAGATAGAAACCCTATCTTTAATAAAATTAAAAATAAAGTTAGTAACTAAACGCTAGACTAATTCCCTAAAGATATAACTCTTACAGAAGGAATCCTATATTAGAACAATAAAATCTAAGTACTAGAATTACTATAAAAAAAAGTAATAAAAACAGTCTATAAACATCCGCTATATAAATACAAGGGGGTTACTAAAATACTATAATAAATACAATAGTACTATACCTTCACAAGTATAAAGAAAGTCATTAAAGAAATCGTTTAATTATACATCTTATATACAAAAATAAAGTTTAATTAACAAAAACCTTACGGTAAACTACAACTATTACTAATACTAAAACACCCTTAAAACTCTATCTTATTTAATTATATTATTAAGCTACTATTATTAAAAAAGCTTATAATAAATATAGTATACGACAGTATCTTCGTTATTATTAACAAATTAATAAAATAAGGTATTTTTATTTTATATAAAGAAGGAAGTATAGTAGAAGAATTAAGCTATATAATACAAAAGTATATAGCCTTAAAATATAAATTACCTACGGAAATTATCTTTAACAAAGGATTAACGTTTATATTTAAATATTAATAAAGTACTACAGCAAAAATAGAAACGAACTATAAGGCCAGCACCGCTTACTATCCCCAGACGGACGGATAAATAAAACGCACTAACCAAATTATTAAAATATACTTAAGAAGCTACATTAACTTTAACTAAAACAACTAGGTTAAGCACTTACCTAACGCAAAATTCTCCTACAACGACTTAATTTCAGAGTTAATTAAACTACTGCTATTTTACGCTAATAAAGAATATTACCTATAAGCGTACTAAATACTATAAAAAGAAGAAGATGTATAAAAAGCTATACTTAAAATAAATAAGCTTAAAAAACTATACTAAGAACTACGCGCGTAACTTAAACTTATATAAGAATATATAAGGAAGTATATAAATAAAAAAAGGCTTAGAGGACTAACCCTTTAGGAGGGAGATATAATCTACCTACTTTAATATACTTAAGGAAAAAAATAAGCTAATATTAAAATAAATAAACTAAGTAATAAGCTAAATTATAAAAAAGTTAGGCTTTATAAGATTTTAAAGAAAATTAGCGAAGTTAATTATAAACTAGACCTCCTAGAGTAACTAAATAAATAAGGAAAACTAGTCCACCTGATTTTTTATATCTTACTATTAGAAAAAGCATTAATAAACAAAAATACAGAAGAACTTATTAAGGATAAAATTATTATTAAAGGTAAAGAACTTAAATACGAGGTTAATAAAATAATATTACTAAAAATAGATAAAGCAACTGGTGAACTTTAATACCTAGTGGAATAGAAAGGATATAATAGAGACGTAGATAGCTAGGAACTGGAAAGTAATTTCAAATACGCTAGTACTACCTTAAAAACCTTCTAAAATAAACTCCGTAAATAACTACAAGTAAAACAAAAACAAATACGGGAAGAACCAGAACGACCTGCGAAACCTAGGAAGATAATAAAAGAGCACCTGTGACGAACCGGGTCCTATAGGCACTATAGGTTAGCTGTTTCCAAGGGACAAACCTTAGAGTGGTTCTATAGTTTATGTTAGCGGAGCAATCAGGTCGGTAAACGGGCAATCTTATTACCAGCTAGTAATATAAATAAGAGTAGATGTCTAAGTTCTAATCTAATTGTATTATAAACGCTGTAATAATAACTGGCTATTTAAGTATTCTAATGAGTAATATAAAGTAAACTTATATATTTAGTTAATTTAGACTAGATTAATATATAAAATATTAATCTTTCCCTAGATTAATAAATAATTTATTGATCCGCTGTTGGATTAAGAAGTTGTATTTTAATCCTTCCCTAATTAGTTAAAGGATTAAAGTTAATTTAGTTTAGACTAACCTGTTAGCCTATTGTCGTAACCTTAAGAGTCGGGTTATAATATAATATCCCCCTTCTGTTAGTTTTATCCTTAAGACCTTACTATATTTAGTATAAGTAGCTACTTCCCCCTATTTTCGTTAATATCTTGGTTTTTCCCTTATCTTTATGTATCTTTGTTAATTATTATGTTAGGTATTTATAAAAAATCTTATCCTAAGATAAAGCGTTATAATATTCTTTTAGAAATTATCTTATTTTATCTTATTAAAATAAAAGACTATATATATTATTTTAATAAAAAAAAGCGGAGCTTTTTAAAGTATTAAATATCTAAAGAAGATTCTACTTACTATATTAAATATATAAAGGATAATAAATCCTTATATAATACGCGTCTGTTATCGTTAGCTTAGCTTTAAAAAATTACTTTATTTTATACTTAGTATAAAAATATTTTTAAAGAGGTTAAAGAGGAGTATAAAATAGTTAATGTAAAGATCGAACGTCTTTATAAACAGAAACGTCTATAGCTAGAGAAAATAACTTATGCAGTCGCATAGGGTATTAATAACTTAGAGGAGTTAGATAGGGTTAAGCGTAAAGAAGCGGAGGCTGCTCGTTAGGCTGTAATATTATTACCTAATTTAACTAATCCTATAACTGCAGGTTCTGCGGTTAACGCTGTTAATTAAGACGCTTTTAACCCTTCTTTACTAAACCTAAACTTTAGTAAAAGTTATTTATAAGGTCTTTTAAGTACTTAAGATCCTTAATAGTTTGCTATAATTTTTCTATTTTATTATAGCCTTTTTATTTTACTAGGTATTTAGTTTATTAGGTATTTTTATTAAATTTTATTATTTTAAGCTTTTTAACTTTATATTTAAGTTCTTTACCTTAAATAATAATTTTGTCCTATATAACTTTACCTATTTTTTTATTTACTAATACTTTTTCTAATAGTAAAATATAAAAATTTAAATATATAGTTCTTCTTTATTTCCCTAGGGTAAGTAAAAGATTTATTTTATAATTAATAGGTTTAATTTTCTTTATAACTTTGTAAGGTCTAAGTTTTTTAAAATTAAGCTTATTACTTAGCCTATTTGTCTTAATGTTTAGCTGCTTATCGTTTTACAAGTATTAAAGTAGGTAGACTATGTCTCCTTCCTTAAAGGTTAGTCCTCTAATCCTTCTTATATCTGCAAATTTAGCTATTTATTATTTAATAAATTTAAGTTATACTTATAATTCTTAATGTAGTTCTTTAAATTTATTAGCTATAATAATAGCTTTACTAGTATTTTCTCCTTTAATAAGTAGCTAATGTAGATCTAGTTTAAACCCGTAGTTTGCGTAAAATAGTAAGTAGTTTATAGATTTTACTAGTGTATTATTATAGAATACTTAGGCAGTTAGTAAATATTCTGCTTAATTATTTTAGTTAAAGTTAACGTAGTACTATAAGTATATTTTAATAATTTAGTTAATTTGTTTTATTTATTTATTTATCTAGGGGTAGTAAGCTGTACTAGTTTTATATTTTAGTCCGATTTATGCTATAAGTAATTACTAAAATTTTAATATAAATATAAATCCTTTATCTAAGATAATTTTGTTTAGTAGTTTATAGTTTACGTAGATATATTAGAAAAATACATAAGCTAAGTCTTTTATAGAGCTTTTTTCTTTTACTAAGATAAAGTAAGCTATTTTTAAGAGTTAGTTAACTACTATAAAGATGCTGTCCTAAGTATTATCGGTTATAGGTTTTCTTAAAGGTAGAAGCTTTATAATGTAGTTAAACGTTATTAATTCCTAATTCCTAACTGAAATTAGTAAGGGTTATAGTTTTTTATAAGGAAGATAGTATAATACCTTGGCTTATTTATATATTATATATTTTAATATAACCTTCTGTACCTATTTCTTAATACCTTTAAATTTAAAGTATTATATAATTTATTATATAGTTTTTCTAATTTTATAGTATCCGTTAAGTTTATGTACGTAAACTAATTTTACTACTTTACTTCGTAAGTCTTTTAGTACCTAAATAAGTCTATCTAGTGTTAGATATTCTGTATTTATAGAAATACCTTCTAGGTATTATTTATTTTCCTAGTTTTTAACGTATTCCTTTATATTATTAATAATTAGATTATCTATTTCGATTTGGTATATGGTGTTAATTAATTAAATTATTAGGTTACTATACTAATTCTTTTTTAGTATTTATACTTTTACTTCTGGGATTTCTTAGAAGTAGTTTAGACGTCTGCTAAGTATATTAGCATATCTATTATTTAAATTACTGCAGTATCTAATTAAGAGCTTAAACTCGGAGAGTTATTTATAATACTTAACTTATCTGCAAAATAGTTCTTATGTTATTATAAAGTAGGTAATGTTCCGGTGATCTATAAGGATTATTACTGGAAATCGACTTCCTTTACAGTAGTATCTTTAATGTTGTTTACTAAGCGCTTGGTATATGGCTAGAAATTCCTTATTGTAAATAGGGTATCTGAGTTTTAGTCTATGTAGTTTCTTAAAGAAATAAGTAATAGGCCTAAGTTTCTTCTTTTTTATATTATCTAGTTAGCTAAGTACTCCTCCGATTGTATAATCTAAGGCATTAGTTTTAATTATAATAGGTTTATTTAGGTTAAATATTATAAGTACTGGTGTACTAGTAAGAGCTTATTTAAGGCGTTTAAAGGCTGTTAAAGCGTCTTATGTTAATTTAAATTTAATATCTTTTTTTATTAAGTTTATAAATAGTATAGTAATTTTTAAGAAGTCTTTAATAAAACGTTAATAGTAATTAGTAAGTCCTAAGAAGCTTTATACTTACTTAACGTTTTATAGTAGTTCCTAATTATTAATTACCTTAAGTTTCTTAAGGTTTATTTAGACTTTGCCTAAGGTAATAATATATTTTAGGAATATAACCTTCTGTATATAGAAGTTATATTTCTTAGGTTCTACTAGGAGTTTATTATTTTAGAGTATTTATAATACCTTTTTAATATATTCCTTATGTTTTTCTAAGTTCTTAAAATAAATAAGGATATTATTAAGGTATATAATAATAAAAT